AGACGAGGTAACCAAACTTCTTAAAATAGGGTCCATTTAGGAAGTAAGATATCCCGAATGGCTAGCAAATGTGGTGGTAGTCCCTAAAAAGGGAAACAAACTGTCAATATCTGTGTTATAGCCTCCTGAATGCCTGGAATCATAATAGGCACAGCTGGTGCCTGAGTTGGCCCCGCCGTCTAAACTATATTTGGAATCTGCTCCTGAGTTGGAGCAACTGGTGGTTCTACCGATGCTGCTCTAACTGCTGTACGAGCTACACTCGACCTCTACCACGGCCCCGGGCTCTCGCGGCCCTAACTGGTGGCACTGGTGACTGATCGTCTGATATGGTAGTACGTGTCCTCACCATCTGTGAGAGAAAAGAATAACAGAAATTTAATTTTCGGAATCAACAAATTCGCACGACAGAATACAAGACAGTGAAATTTTTGCTAAGGGTTCGACAACCTCTCGAAGATAAGTATAGACGTCTCCGTACCGATCCGCAAGACTCTACTAAGCCTGATCATGACTCACTCTAATACCAACTTATCACGATCCAAAATCACACATGTCGTGATGGCGCCTATCTTAATACTAGAAAAGTCGACAACCTCAATAAACAACAAATTTTCTTAAATTTGAAAAAATATAATAATTAATTTCAATATAAAAAAAATCTCACAAATACTGATAAAAAAATATTTTCAAAACCCGGTGTCACTGAGTACATGAGCATCTAAATAATAACAAAGTCTGACTGATAAAAATATTGTCTGAATATATAGAACAGTACAATAACTGAAAGGAAAGAGAGTCAAGGTCTGCGGACGCCAAGCAGTTACCTTGCTAGTCTCCAACAGATGAAACTCTGATATCTAGCAGTCGCCGAATTCAGAAGTACCTGGATCTGCACACGAGGTGCAGGGTGTAGTATGAGTACAATCAACTCAATAAGTAACAAGACTAACCTTTGGGCTGAAAATAGTGACGAGCTCAACAGGTACAGTCCAGATAGAAATAACAGTACAGAAATGTAGGCATGCTTTCAAGTTTAACAGTTAAACTCAATATACGTAAAATCGATCAATTCTGAATGATATGAGGATTATGACATCTCTATATCTACATGCTAATGTACGTGTTGCATGTGATGCACCTCAGTGGAAAACCTCGTGTACTCACGATCACAAATTACTCAATCACTCAGTACTGTATATGGCCAATCTAGCCCAGGGAAGATCCGTCTCTCTCTCTCTCTCTCTCTCTCTCACACACACACACACACACACACACACACATCAACTGACAATCAGTCACTCATTACTATATAAGGCCAATCCAGCCAGGGGTAGATTTATCCCCAAATATAAATAACTCGGACAAGATCCATATCTAGGGAAATTCATCACAATTATAAATAAATAAGGCAACTCCATGCCTTAGAAAGTCCATCCCGGATATAAATCATTTGCACTCACTATGGGGGGGTGCAAACTCCGGAGGGGCACCTTCAACCCAAGTGCTATATAAAGTCAATATGGCCTACTGCGGCATGCAGTCCGATCCCATAATAATAAAACCTATAAGGCCTGATGCGGCATGCAGCCCCGATCCATATAATGATATATATATATATATATATATATATATATATAGCCAATATGGTCTGTTACGGTGCGCAGGTCGATCTCATAAATATTCTCACAATGGATGAAAATGACAGAGTATGAAATGTATATTTTAAAACAATTAATTCAACAGCAACACGACCCTATGGGTTCCAAAATATCGGCACATAGCGTAAACATGATCTTTAATACGAGCCTCAACTCAATTTCTTTAACACGTGGAGGATATGCGGATAATGACATAATTATTTAATTTTACAACTCCACAAAATTTATTTAAGTCATAATTTCTACGGTGCGCACATGTGTGTCACCTGCATACAATGCACATAACACGTCTTATAGTGATTTATACCCTCAGAATCAAGTTTAGAAGTGTTACTTACCTCAAACCGTACAAATTTTTTATTCCGCTATGCCTTTGCCTCGCGAATCGGCCTTCGAACGCCACGAATCTAGTTACAATTAATTTGATTTAGTCAATACAAATTATAGGAATTAATTCCATATAAAAATACTAATTTTTCAACAAAATCTGAAATTGCACTCAAAAATCCCCCGTGGGGCTCACATCTTGGAACCCAATAAAAGTTATAAAATATGAATTTCTATTCAACCACGAGTCCAACCATACCAATTTTACCAAATTCCGACATCAACTCGAACCTCAAATCATCAATCTAAACTTAAGGGTTTTCAATATTTTTCCAACTTAAAACACCAATTAAATGCTAAAAATAGCAATAGATTCAGGTAATTTGACCAAAATTGAGTTAAGAACACTTACCCCATTATTTCTTTTGAAAATCTCCCAAAAATCGTCTCTCCCCCAGTTCCAAATCGTTAAAAATGAAAAATGGGCCAGAACTTATGTTCTGATGCCCAATTATTTCCTCTATGTGATCGCGGACCAAGTCCAGCGATTGCGAAGCACAAATTTTTCACTACCCAATTTAACCTTACGCGGTCGCGGATAAGTGCACGTGATCGCGAACTTTTAGCTCCACAAACCTACACGATCGCGGCCTTGTCCAGACGATCGTGAAGAGTAACTTCGCGTGACCCCCTGCTGCCCCACTTCCTCTACGCGAAGCGACGTGCCTTACGCGTTCGCGATGCCTGAGTTGCTCCAGCTACACGATCGCATAGAACAATTTTTCAGTAGTCCCAATTAAGCCTATGCGATCACGGACCTTCTCACGCGATCGCGTAGAAGGAAACCAGACCTGTGCACCAGAAAACTTCTACAAATACACCAACAAGTCCTAAAACATCATAAGAACTTAGTCAAAACTTCAAATCACATCAAACAACGCTAAAAATACGAATCATACCCTAATTCAAGTCTAATGAAACTAAGGAATTCCAACTTCTACATTCGATGCGAGACCTATCAAATCAAGTCCGATTGACCTCAAATTTTGCACACAAGTCATAAATGACATCACAGACCTATTCCAATTTTCAGAATCGAATTCCGACCCCGATATCAAAAAATCAACTCCCTGGTCAAACTTCCAAACTTAAATTTCTATTTTAGCCATTTAACTACGGACTCCCAAATAATTTTTCCAAACACACTCCTAAATCCAAAATTACCATACAGAGCTATTAAAACCATCAAAACTCTATTCCAGAGTCGTTTATATATAAGTCAACATCCGGTCAACCTTTTCAACTTAAGTTTTCATCCTTGAGACTATCTCAATTCATTCTGAAACCTCACCGGACCCGAACCAATTACCCCGGCAAGTCACATAATAACTGTAAAGCATAAATTGAGCAGTAAATGGGAGAACGGAGATGTAATATTTAAAACGACCGGCCGGGTCGTTACACATTGAAACACTCCTTGATACACGTGGGCCGCCCCTGTTCACAATATTGTAGAGATTAGAGTTGCATGTGTCAATCAATTTACCTTCTCCTACGTCTTGGCCCCAATAAACCACAATATCTCCAGCTTGTTAGGAGAAGCAAGAATATTGGTAGAATGAAAAGTAAAGATACCTTAATGCTCATTGTTTAATTCAACGGGAAGAACCTATATTTTTCAATTGGATGAGTAACGTGGAGTATGCAACATGTGTTTGATAGGCAAAGCCTTGAAAACGTTTGGAACTTTAGAGGGTTCCTTGACATTTCTTCACTTTTTTTCGGGTTTCACACGCTCAAAATTGAGTGAAAAATACGCACTTGACATGTCGGCATCTGCAGATTCGTGTCTATGATTTTAATTTGACGGGTCCCGCTCAGAGGTGCATGCCATCTACTTTATGATTTTTATGATATCGTTACTATTTCTATGATTTTTGTTGAAGATGCTGATATATTATCTTTTCTCGTTTTCTTTTTGTCTTTCTGAACCGATGGTCATCGGAAACAATCTCTCTGTCCCATTGGGGTATAGATAAGGCTTGCGTACACACTACCCTCCTAAGCCACACTTGTGAAATTTTACTGGATCGTTGTTGTTGGATTCGGCCTAGAAGTTTTTATCAATGAATCCATTACACTTATGACGCTATGGGTTCAAAACGAAATATAATTTTGTACAATTTTCACAATTTTAAAATAAATTAAATTAATTAAACTATTACACTTTAATTTTAATGTGATGTTTGCTTTCTTGTTAATCACTGTTTACTACTTATATTTTCTTTCATTATTACTAATATATACTTCCTCCATTTCAATTTAAATGAGGCATTTTGACTCGGCATAGAGTTTAAGGAGAAAAGAAGGAGGGTTTTGAAACTTGTGGTCATAAAAGTTTAAGAGATAAAAAATTTATTGGGCCATGACATTTGTGTGATTATAAAAAATATTTACTGTTTTTATCTTTTATACTATTTCAAATTGAAGGATAATTATTACTCTAAATAATTGGTCCCACGCTTCTGAATTTGTACTAACTAAAGGAGTAACTGATACCGTGTGCTTGACATGCGAGTTAATGTACGCATATTGTCCTATTTCTTCTGGACATTAATATGCAAATAATGTCTTTGTCAATTGTCAGTATGATGGACCAGGAAATTAGATGTTAAACATAAACCGTGAAAAACATTCGTTAAATGATCTCGTATTTATTTAATCTTCGTATTATAATTTGCACAGTATAATTTTAGTATAACTTTTCCCGAATCAAACGAGCTCTAAAAGTATATGAGTATAGAAAGAGGACTGTTAAAACCTTCAATATCTTAGTCGCGGACATGCATGAACGCGAGATACTTCGTGCGCACCGAATATCTTTTGTTACACTTGGTAATTCTTTTAGTTCTTCGTATTGGGTTTCAGGCCAATTTATATTAGTTAACTATGATACACTTAAACAAGTAACACAACACAATCTTGTAAAAACACACCATACAATAAGTAACATTTTTTAATAAGTAACTTTCAAAGCCTTATTATTGAGTACTATATAGTTTATAATATAACATTATTGACGTCATCATATTAATACAAGCTGACTAGCTATGATCATATATCTCAAACATTAGCCTTAATAGCAGAGCTATAACCATTGTCATAAAATTTAGACCAAAGCATAACACCCCCATACTTTGGTGAACCATTAATTAATGGTAAAACCTGAGAAACAAGAACATCAGATGGTATAAAACCACTTCCAGCTGCTCCTTGAGCTGCTGGCAATCCCAGAAAAATTTTTCCAGCTTGAATCGCGTTCCACTGATTCCAGTAATTTTTTAAATTGTCCGCGCTCCCACCGGAGTATTGACACGGTGGATTATTGTAAAATTGAACCCAAACATAATCAAATAAGCCAGTGGAAAGTGCCCCATTTAACCATGTATCTGGGAATGGACATTGTGGAGCTGCAGTTAAGTATACTTTCCTTTGTTGGCTAAATTGTGATAGAGTTTTTGCTAATTCATCCCAATGTTGTGTTGTCCCGCCTTCTATATCAAAATCAATTCCATCTAGAACTGCATCTCCTAGTGGACGTGTGTTTGATTGACCTCCAAGATAATTGTTCCACAAATAATTTGCCACATTCCTGCAATGTTTTTGACAAATAATGAGCACATAATTTAGGAAAGAAAAAAAAGACTTACCACATGCTAGAATTACTTTAGAACTGTGATCTTACACATGTCATACATTTAGATGGTTATAAAAGCATGCGACTAAGGGAATAATGTAAAATGAAAAGTTGAAGAGTTTTCAAATATATAAAGGTATCACTCTTTTTAGAATAGACTATTAAGGAAAGAATATCATATAAAATGTAACGAAGAGAGTACTATATTAGATGAGTTTTCCTTGTGTGTCAATTCATTTAATATTCGAGAATGGAGAAATTCTTGGTAGGAATTATGTCCCCCTTATCGGTTCTCGTGATGAAAACCTAAATTAGTCGGGCTAGTGGATTTTATAGCGGTTTGTTGTGCTCAACCAGCCTAAAGATAATCTTAATATGGTATGATATTATCTGTTTTGGTCCAAACAGTATTAAGAGTATCTCTACACCTTATATGTAGTTTTCCAATCTTTTCACCTATGATTCTAATATAAATCTATGATGCTAATATAAATCTTACCTAGCATCATCAGCAGAAGAAAGAAAATAGCTTCCAGCACCACCACCAAGAGAAAGCATAACTTTGATGCCTTGGTTTTGACAAGCTCTAATGTCATTGCTTAAGCCAGTGCATGCACCAGCATTTGGATCACAATGACCAGCTAAATTTAGCACTGGATTTTGGCCATTCCCAAAAACTACAAGGAAAGCAATATTGACAATGGCATAGTTATTTGTTGCACAAGTGTCAGCTAAGCTACCTTCATTCCCATTTTGGCCCCAATATATTACTATATCCCCTGCTTCTAGTTTTAATGCTCGAAGAAATAGCACTAATGCTGTCAAAAGAAAACTATATTTGATCATAACTTTAAGTTTTTTTTGTGTGTGTGTGCTAACACTTCAAATTATTGGATAGATTATATCAAGATTGAGAAGCATACCTGTTATTTATAGTTGGTGGATGTGTGTTTGCTTGGTATTTCGTGGAAATTTACATAGTTGACTTGAGGTCAACTTTCTGTCAATCATTTACTATACTAAAATTGACCTCCGGACTCTCTTTCCTCCCTATGGTATGCTCCATGCTTCGCGCCTATAGCACAATAATGTCCAATGGCAAGACTTCTACATCTACATATATAATAGATTTGGTTCAATTCTTACTGTTCTTTTTTTTTTCTTTCCACTTTCTTTTTCCATCGTTGTAAAATAAAAAAATTGTAGTCTCTGTTTTTTCTATAATCGTTGGGTCGTTTGGTACGCAGGATAAGATGGGATAAGGTGAGATAAAGGTGTGAGATTAAATTTATATTGTATATGGTTGACGATATAAATTTAATCACAGACTTAATCTTAGATATCGCACCTGAGATAAATTTATACTGTCAACCAAATACAGTATTCATAAATTTAATCGCAGACTTAATCCTAGATATACCACCTTATCTCTTCAAACTCGAGATTAGTTTATCCCACTTATCCCATCTCCTAGATGGGATAAATCAGTTCAGGGATTATAATTCCAGAACTATAACCCCGGGGATAATTTAGTCTGCAACATATTCCAATTAGTGAAGGAAACTTCTTGAGGACTTAATTTTCAAGACTTTTGAGGTTGTAAACAGTATAATCCTTATTGGATTAAGAAAGAAAGTAGTAGTATTTTTCTTGTGCTAAATTTCAAGAGTTCCCACTTGTTGACTTTAGAGCTTGTATACAAAGGTAACATAAAAGCTAAATTTCTAGAAACACTAGAAGATAGCTAAATCTTGACTAGGTAACAATCTGATTGTGTGGTATGTTTATAAATACACTAGTTTTTAGCCACACAGCAAAAAGCGTGATCCCATATTAATTAGTATATAATTTTAAAAAAAATTATATTATATTTAGAAATCTAGTTTTGAACCGTGTGTCACTAGCCTTAGAAGATTCATCAAAAAAATGTTCTACTATCGTTTTTTGAATGACACATTTTTTCTACATATCATTGCATATTTCTGAAATTCATTTCCTTGTGGAATTTAGATGCTACTTATGTGACCTGAAATTCATTTCCTCAAAATTCTGCCTCTGTTTATGTGCATACTTTTAGCAACACATTCCTTGGCTGTTCCAAACGTGATGAAATCGGACAAACTCGAGATCTTGCCCGAGTTTTTGATCATGGGGAGATGAAGATTTTATTATGATGTGATCGAACCCACATGACTGCCTACATATCCCCTCTTAAACGGGAATCAGGTCAAGCATAGTTTAGTTACATCAGATAGAAAATGCAAACAATCTTAAACATAGTATCTCTTGACTGCGTCTGCATTGATAGGTTTCGGCCAAATATCTCCATCCATTTCTGCAAGTATAAGTGCTCCTCCTGTTAATACCCGGTGAACCATGTAAGGACCTTCCTAGTTGGGTGAGATCTTCCCCTTGGCTTCATCCTGGTGTGGGAACATTCGCTTTAACACCAATTGCCGAATTGGCTTTACCTGACCTTTTTGTTGAAAGCTCTTGCCATTCTGTTCTGATAGAGTTGACCGTGACATACCACATTCATTCTTTTCCCATTAATGAAAGCTAGTTGTCGAGGAGGCTTTGAACCTCTATTTGGGTGGTTCTAGACTTACTTAGGTTGCTCAAAAATGATAAAACTAGTCACGCATTGAAAACAAATAGGACTGCACATAATTAACACCAAAGGCTCAGATTCACCTCCTCATATAGACATGTATTCACGCTGTCAATTAGGCAGACAAGTTATAGCTTATACCAGTGATGTTAAATTATTTAAATATGCAACTATAGATGGGCAGGTTTGGAGTAAAGGCGTGTTAAATTATTCAAGACCTATAGGCAGGATCTCTACGTGATTCTGATTTACAGTATTATACATGAGCAGCGTTCATGTGAATTGCAAATCCTATAGGCATGATTTCTAAGTGATTCTGGATTCCAAAAATACACGGGCAGTGCAGTAATTTCTAAACTATCGTGTAGGCAAATTGAATATCGCAAGTCCTATATACATGAATCTAAGTATTTTGCGTAAAAGTTAGTAAAAACAATTATAATTCTGAATTACTAATGCTGGTTTTATAGGCAAACGACAATGCAATAAAAGCGACGAGAATAGTCGATTAAAGTATTGAAATCCTATAACCATGATGTCTAGATGAGCAGTGTACATAGAAGCAATTTTGCCCAATTGATTACTTGAAGTCCTAAAAATATGGTATCTAGATTAGTGAGGCATGTTGTCTAAGTGTACACAGTAATAGACATGGAAACTAGTACATAAAATACTTGAAATAACATGTTTTGACAAGTTAAGTAAGGTGTGTGCGTGTGACTCCTATAGGCATACTTTCTACACATGAAACTAAAAGCATGTAAAGCAAATAGCAAATAGACCACATAGATTCTATAGTCATGCTTTCTACCTATTCATGTGAGAATTAGAGTACCCTATCCCCTTTTTACTAATTTCCCCATCGGTTTTCTTTGTTAGTTATTAGATGTCCAAAATAATGAATACAAGTGCAAATATTACATACTGAAAGACTACAGGCCTAATAAACAGAGCAGGCCCAAAAGAGAAATATCCCAGTAACACCTGGGCCTTCAGCAAGCTCACTTTTCACACGAACAGTAGACTCAGATCTAAGCACACCTCAAGCGTAAGAGTATCAATTGCACAACCCAAGGCCACACATGAACTCGTACCAGGCTTAGAGGGAGGAACCATACATGAAAACCAATTGACAACTATAAAGTCTATTAACAGTGATACCTCATGGGGACATGATTACATAAACATATCATCATTTTTTAGAAGCTAAGGGCATGATTGGTCAAACAAGAGGGCTTGAGCATGCCAACTAGGTGGACAACTTTAACATAGCAAGTTTGACATAGAAAACTAACCCTGTATTGAGCAATCATTCGACAAAGGAAAATGTGTAGCATGATGAATACAATCACACATTAAGAGGGCGGATAAACACATACACATGCTAAGTTTCCAGAAATCAAGTTTAGCACAAGATATTAGCCAGAATTAGTCAGAAAAGACTTTAAACAAGTGAGTCTTATGCAAAATAGTTATAGTCAAATGGATAGCAATTTCACATGAAGATTTATAATATAGGAGCCTAACATGATCACAAACAGTATGGAAACAACCTAGTAGCATGGTCTACAACAGACCACAACAGTGCCTAAACTGATGAGAATATATACCACTTAAGAAGAATAGGACATGCAAGCATAACCATTCATACCAATTACCTAGATATGAGAGAAGCTAACATAGAAATTTGCCCTAGAAGCAATTCTAAAGACATAAGATTAACAAAACAAACATACATTAGAACTTAAATGGCATGGAAACATGCCTTAGCTAATCAATATAGCCTCAGAAATTTATCATGTTGGGCAAGAATAACTCAACAAGTTCTGGAACACAGACATAGAAATACAGGACAAGGTGGGGAATACACATTAGTTTAGTTGCACTTAAGAAGACTGGAATCTATTCCCATAATGAAAGCATATTACATGTATTGAAGTCTATTGAATTCAACTACTAAAGAATGTGAAACTGCAGGGCATCGTTAAGACAATATAATTACAGTAAAGAATACACCAACAAAAAATCAGGAATCTATGAATAGCAAGAAAAACTGAATCATGCTTACAAAAAGTTTAAACAACATTAGCACACAGAACACACATGTCGCAGATAGTTTAAATTGTAAGAGTCAAGGACACTAACTAGTAGCAAATTTAAATGAGCAAAAGAGTGAGAAATTTTGAATATTGGGAGTGATTCAGTAGCAGCAATTGAAAGAGAACCCCAAATCCCTGATGCTTCAGAGTTCAGAAGAGCCTCGAGAAGGGCTCCCAACTGTGTTTGCACCGAAGGAGGTCATTTTAATAGTATTATGGCCTTGGCTTCTAGCTGGCCAGGAATTCAACAATTTCAGAAAGTATTCGAGTGTATCAGAATAAGTGAACGAGTGAAAGAAGAGAATAGTGAGAGTAATAGCAATAATCAAGTCTCCCCCAAAGGGAAATCGGGGAAGGGTTTATATGGTAACCAAAAGCAAACATCCAAATAAGGAAACATAATAAATCAAACACAAATAAGGAAAGATGAGCATACAAAATCGATTAAGAACCAAATTAGGAGAAAAATCAGGCAAACCCTAATTTTTCTTGGAATCACAAATTGGCCAAAGAATCTTGTCAAATCGGGCCCGTATGATCTTGCTATGGACATATATAGACAAGGAACCGTATGAATCTTGAGGAGTACGTCTAATTTTCCTTGATTCGGAAGATCGGTAATTGCCAAAAATGGAGCAAGTACTATGTAATACCATAGTCTTGTAAGAAACAACGAGATAATCCATAAAAGGTAAGAGAATCAAAGAAAGAATCCATGATTTGGTCGGATTTGGAAAAGATTTGAGTGAGGCGGCTAGCGTTTAGGTTTGTGAGATGAGAGAATAGAGAGGATTCAAGGGTGGTCGTCTCAGAAAATGAGGCTAAGGATTCCGGGCTAGGTTAATTAAAAGAGGGAGATGGCATATGGGCCGTTGATCTTCCAAGATCATCGACCAGGATTTAATGAGAGGCAGATCGAGTTAGTGGACGGGTATAGGGTAGTGGGTCGCTGGTATTGGGCTAGGGAAGCTGGGGCAGAGATTTGAGGGGTTTGGGTCACTAGTGTGGTCCGAAACAAATTGTGTGATTTGGCCTATATTTTAAATACACAAAATTATTTAAATAAAATAATTAATAATAAACAATAAAATATTTCTTATGCACTAAAATTATTGAAAATAATAATTTAACATTATAAAAATATAAAATGCTATTTTGGCACAAATAATGTAAATAAAACATAATT